TTCCACCCAGTTTTCCACCCAACCCGTGCCGCCGCGCGCGTTAGTTCTCCACCCCCCTAGTTTTCCACCCAGTTTTCCACCCAGTTTTCCACCCAGTTTTCCACCCAACCCGCGCCGCCGTCGTCGTCGGTTGTTGTCGCGCGAGTTGTGGTCGTGCACCGGTCGTGCACCGGTCGTGCACCGGTCGTGCACCGCCGTCGCGTTGCAGCCACGGTATTTTCCACGGTAGCAACCACGGTATTTCCCACGGTATTTTCCACGGTAGCAGCCACGGTATTTCCCACGGTATTTTCCACGGTAGCAGCCACGGTATTTCCCACGGTAGCAGCCACGGTAGCAGCCAAGGTGGAGTGCCCTGCGTGTCAGTGCCCTATCCCGTCCCCCAGACCCTGCCCCATTCTAATGAACTTTATGGTCCGCGCCGCGGTTCAAGCTGGTGGAGCCTTGGCGCATGCATGACAGCGTAGGCGCAACTGCACAGACCTTAGGGCACTGCACACGTAGGCGTAACACAGCAGGACTTCTGCAGGACAGCCTAGGCCTAGGGGCTTTACCTTTGTCCACCGCGGAGCTGGAGGACCCTATCGCAACCACAATGCGTGGTTGGGCCATGTCCATGGTTCTGATGGCTGCCCTGGCCCTGCTTGGCATCGGCCACACTGGCGACGACGGTGGCCACGGTGGCGACGACGGCCACGCTGGCCATGGCGACGACGGTGGCCATGGTGACGACGACGGCCACGGTGGCCATGGTGGCGACGACGGCCCCACTGGCCACGGCGGAGACCACAGCCGTGGGCCAACGCAGGAGTGCAGCTGGAGCGAAGTGCCGGAGATGGGTGCACCGGCTCCAGCCCAAGCGCCGGCCGCGCCATCGGGTACAGCCGTGCCAGAGGACGCAGACACAACACCGGCTGATGATCCAGGCGAGGCTGCAGCAGAAGCTTCGTCCGAGGAGTCCTATGAATCCTCTTCGCACCTGGAGACAGCGGAAGCCGTGCAACGGAAGGCGGCAGAGGAGTGCGAAGCAGAGGTCAAGGAGCGGAAGGAGCTCGCGCTTGCCGAGCAGAAGAAAGCAAAGGCGGACCGCCAGAGAGCTGAGGCCCGACGCCAGGCCGAGCAGCGCAGGGCTGAGGAGGCTCGCCGCAGAGAAGAGCTGGCGAGGCAGAGAAGGGAAGCGGAGGAGAAGCGCGCAGCAGAGCGCGCGGAGCGCGAGCAAGCCTTGATCGCGGAAAGAGTGGCCCAAGGAGTCCGGGACCGAGTGAACGAGATGATCCAGGAGGGCAACCGCAGCCCTCTCATCCTGCAGCTCATCGCGGCTTTGTGGAGGAGACTTGACAGTACGGAGCAGCTTTTGGCGGAGGCCTTGGCTGCGCAGCAGCAACAGAACCGTGTGCTACGCGAATACATTGGCAACACGGCCAAGGGACTTCAAGAAGCTCATTTGGCATCCCTCGACAGATTGATTCCGGTGATTCAGTCCCAAATGGCTATGTCACTGGCGTCTCCGGGTCGCCGGGCCCCGGGAACGCCCGCCGCTTCTGCCGCTCCTGGAACACCGACACCGAGAGCTCGGCGAGTGCGATGTCGAAAATGCCCAGCTTGTGTTCAGAAGCTCTCCAGCGAAGAGGTGCGGCTTCCGTGTGAAACATGGAAAAATGTTGGCCCAATCCGCGGGCCTGACGGTCGCTACCAGGCCAGGCTTGATTCAGTACCGCCGCCGGTTGAAGAGCTTAAGGGCGAACCACAAGAGCCGAAGGAAGAGTCGAACAGCGAAGCACGGGCTGAGGTTGAAGGGCAGAAGGGCAAGCGCAAGAAGGATGCGAGAAAAGAAAAGAAGGAGAAGAAGCCAAAGGTGTCGCAAGCGCGAGATGGCGCCCCTTTGGGAGGACCAGGAGGTGGTGGAGGTCCTGGTGCGGGCGGCGCTGGCCTAGTTGCGGCTTTCTGACCGTGTGAGTTTTGAGATTGGAGCGGTCGCGAGCCACATTCCCGGCCTCCCCAACGGACTCCTGCCCATTAGCCTAACTTAGCTTACCAGTCAAGACAAAACCTAGGCGTAGGCCAGGGTCGGGCGGAGTCGTTAGGGGGTCGAGGAGGCAGAACCGAGGGGTGGCGTCCCACCGAAAAAGGTCAGCCGCAGTTTTGGGGGTGGGTTGGTTTAGGTGTTCCGGGAGTTCAGGGTCCCTAACCCCTTCGGCCCGGACCTTAGGCTTGACCCCCTCGTCCCTGCAAGTGGTCTGCGCACGCTCCCCCGTAGCCGGCTGCTGCGTTATAAGGTCCCCGCCCCACTGCCCTGCGTTCCGGTTGTGCCTTGCTAACTTTTTCTGCCGCCGCAGCTTTGCCTTTCAAGTCGGTGGGGGTGGGTGGGTTGGGTGGGCGGGCGGGGTGCGGCCGGGAACTCAGAGTGCTGCCGTAGGAGGGTCTTCACTAGGAGTGCAGGTAGGTCCGTTTGCGCGCTAGGCTTCGGGGTTGTTCAGGGTCTGTTCGGTTTGAAGGCGGTTTGGGCTCAGAGGTTGCCAGGTAGTGTCCGTGTGCGCGCCCTCCCCTTCCCCTCCTGCCCACCACCTCCCGCGCCCAGGTCCGACCTTCTTCGCTTCGACTGGCCGGGCGCTCCCCCCAAGGCTTCAGGGATTCCGAGGCGGTTTGGGTTTTCGTAGGCTGCGAGGTCGGAGTGCGCAAGGTTCGGGGTTGGTTCAGGGTGTGGCTTCGGAGGTTGGGAGGCGGTTTGGGGCTCCGAGGCAGCCAGGTTTAGAGTGCAGTCGCCCAGGCTTCCTGTGGGGTTGCGGGGGTTGGTTCAGGGTTTTAAGTCCCGAGCTAAGCCCCTTAGGGTTCCCTAGGCTGCCTTGCGTCCGGGATCCCCGGCCCCCTCCCCGGCGCTCAGGTCCAGCCCCCTGGCGCCGTCGTCGCGTCGACCCTCGGCGCGGCGAAAAAGGGGTTTAGGTGGTTTTGGGGCCAGGGGGGGCCGAGCGGGAGCACCACTCGCGAGTCCCGGTCCCCTCCTGGCGGTGTAGGGTTTAGGGTTTAGGATCCGGCAATGGTGAGGGGCAAAGCCTAGAACCCCACACCGAGTCATGGCGAGGGGCTAGCCTAGAACCCCACATCCGCAGAGCCGGGGCAGGGGCCGAGCGGGAGCAGCCCGCGCGAGTCCCGGTCCCCTGCCCCCGGCAAGTCAAGTCGTGATGGCGAGGGGCTAAGCCTAGAACCCCACACCGACACGAGACGGCGCGACGACAGCGACGTTACGGAGGCTTGTGGCATCGAATCAAAGCACCTCGAGCCCGCGCGGAGCTGCGAGGCTTGTGGCTTGGAATCAAACATTGGGCCCTCGAGCCTGGATTCGAATAAAAAACTCCTTGAAGCAACGTTTCCCAGATCCCATATCAGGGATTGGGAGGCTTAAAATGGCTAGGGGCATTCTTTGGACCCCCTGGTCGGAGCATTGGGCCCTCGAGCCTATATTCGAAAAAAAAACTCCTTCGAGTACACCCCCCCTCCCCTATACAAAGGGGAGCTGGAGCCTTAAAACGGCTGGAGGCATTCCTATCCCAGCCCAGCACACATCAGCTTGTGATCGAGCATTGGGCCTGCGGGCCGGATTGGGCCTACGGGCCGGATTGGGCCTACGGGCCGGATTGGGCCTACGGGCCGGATTGGGCCTACGGGCCGGAGCATTGGGCCTTCGGGCCGTGGCGAGGGGCCAACCCCCAGACCAGACAGCGGCGCAGAGAGCAGCATGCTTGACAGACGGGCCTGTGGGCCGGATTGGGCCTGCGGGCCGGCTCGCGAGTTAGTTCTCCACCCGCCCAGTTTTCCACCCAGTTTTCCACCCAGTTTTCCACCCAGTTCTCCACCCAACCCGCGCGTTCGCACCGGCCCGCAGCAGATCTTCAGTGCTCGAAAATCCGATTAGGCAACTAGGCAGCCATGCCGAACCAGCCAGCTCCGGAGAACGGCCGCATCAAATACCTCGAGAAGCTCATCCGGACCGGTCGCACCGCGACTGTCAACAACCCTCGCGATCTCCTGCCGCAGGAGGTGGCGAAGTACAAGAGGGAGCTGGCGGCGCTGAAGCTCCAGCGCGACCAGGGCGTGGAGAACCGCCGCCACGCCACCGCGGAAGCCGACCGCGTGATCGGCGCCATGGAGGCCGTGGCCGCCTCGCACGCGGACGAGCTCCGCAGCAGCGCCGCCGCAGTGGTGCAGCACGTGGACGGCCGCTTCGACGGCCTGGACGCCCGGCTCGATCGGGTGCTCGGCAAGCCGGGTAGCGTCGAGGAGTGCGACCAGCAGATGTTGCAACTCCGCCAGGAGAAGAAGCGCCGGGCCAAGGAGGAGCGCGAGGCCGCCCGGGCGGCCGAGAAGAAGCGCAAGCTCGAGGAGCCCTACCGCGTGGACCGCCAGGAGGGTGACGTCGAGGTCGCGGGCGTGGTGCTCCGCGGCGAGGGCATCGCCTGGGCCGAGGGCCGCCAGGTCGACGCCGAGTTGGTCATCCACGGCGTGCGCTGCAAGGCCGTGATCCTGGGCATCCCGAGCACGCTGCAGCTCGTGGGCCTAGGCCAGGAGCAGCTGAAGCCGCTCGCCAAGGCCCCCAGAGTCTTCGCGCTGACCAAGGGCGGCGACAAGTTCGTCCCGGCCCGCGTCGTCAGCGACCGCGCCGCCAAGCTCCTGGACGAGGACGACCGGACGCTGAGCCGCGTCGCCGCCGTGCGCTTCCAGATCAACGGCAAGCCCGCCCTGCCGCTCCTCCAGGTCGCCGAGCCCCTCGCCGCCGAGCCCCTCGCCGCCGAGAAGAAGAAGCAGCTCCCCAAGGGGGCGCCGCTGCAGCTCCACGGGATCGCCTGCAGAGTCCTCGGTCCCGGCTTTGTGCAGGTCAAGCAGGTCCCGCAGATGCTTCGCTTCCTGCGGGGGATGACTCCGTTCCCGGAGCTCAAGGCCGTGCAGGTTGGGCCTGTGCAACGCTTCGATGCGGAGTGTCGCCACCTGGTCCCGGAGAACGCGAAGGAGCTGCAACTGCGGCTTGAGGACCGCGTCACCACCCAGGACATCGCCGCCGAGGAGCCCGCAGCCGCCGAGCCAGCCGCCGAGGAGCCCGCAGCCGCCGACGAGCCCGCCGCCCCCGAGGACATCGCCGCCGAGGAGCCCGCAGCCGACGAGCCAGCCGCCGCCGAGCCAGCCGCCGCCGAGCCAGCCGCCGAGCAGCCCGCCGCCGCCGAGGAGCCAGCCGCCGAGCCAGCCGCCGAGGAGCCAGCCGCCGAGGAGCCAGCCCCGGAGGAGCCAGCCGCCGAGGAAGCCGGGGCGCTCGCCGTGCTGCCCAGCTTCGCCCCCGTCCGTGTCTTCGGCGAGATGGGCTTCGACGTCCACATGAGAGGCGGACCCTTCGCGCGGGTTCTGGGCGACCTCTACCACGCCGGCCAGATCCTGGAGAAGCTCCATTTCGAGGTCCAGCTGGAACTCTACAAGGACAGCCGCAAGAAGGGCCCGCCCCAGGTGTTCAACGTGGTCCCGAAGATGGTGGAGGACCGCCGCAGCGGCAAGGCCTTCAAGGTGGAGGGCACCGTCGCAAGGGTGACGCAGGTCACGATGCTGCTGCCCGCGCCCACCGAGCTCAACGGCATCTGGGGCTACTGGCTGGATGGCCGCCGCGAGATCGTGAGCAACTTCGACAAGCTCCTCAAGGCGGACCCCGCGCCTTACGGCCCGGATGCTGTGTGGACCGCCGACAACGAACTGGTGTCCTTCGAGGGCTACGATCCCAGCACGCAGACCGTCCGCTGCGAGGACGGGCTCGAAGTGCCCCTGAGCCAGGTGCACGCCATCATCGCGGACATGTGATCCGACCGAAGCAGCGCCCCAACGGACAGAGCGCGGCGCAAAAAAAGGTCTTCAGCGCTCCCTGCCTAAACCCCAAACCCTAAACCCTAAACGAACCCCCAACCCCGATGCAGCCTCGGCTCGAACCATGGAGTGCCCGCACTGCGGGAAGCGCATCACCCGGGCGGCCCGGCTCCGGGAGCACATCGCCGCCGTGCACGAAGGTCGCCGGGACCACGAGTGCCCGCACTGCCAGAAGCGCTTCGGCTTCGCCTCGGGGCTGCGAGAGCACGTGCGCCTCGCGCACGAGAACGTGCGCCCGCACAGCTGCGGCCGCTGCGGCCAGAGCTTCCACAAGGCGGCGGACCTCCGCGCCCACGCCGCCATCCACGAGCGCGGCTTCGTGCACCGCAGCGGCCGGGAGGCCCTGGTGGAGCGGCTGCTGCGCCGAGAGGAGCTGCCCTTCCGCGCGCAGCTCCGCGTGGACTTCACCGACGGCTCCAGCCACGGCGGCCACGCGCTGCTGGACTTCGCCCTGGAGCGGGACTGGGGGCTGATCGCCCTGGAAGTGGACGAGGGGCAGCACGCCTCGAGGGAGCAGGCGGGCGAGTGCCGCCGCATGCTCGAGGTCTTCCGCTCGCGGCGGCGCCCCGCCGGCAAGCTGCGCTTCGTGAGGTACAACCCGGACTGCGAGCTGCACGTGGTGGAGCGCCACGGGCGGCTGCTGGAGGCGCTGCAGGAGCCGCCGCCGGCCGGCGACTGGGAGATCCTCTACCTGAACTACGAGCTGCCGGCGCCGGGCGCTGCGCTGCCGAGCGTCTGCCTGGGGGCGGACTACCTGGAGGAGCTGCGGGCCGTGGCCCGCGCCTATTGAACAGCAAAAAGCCTGTCTGTGTGCGTGCTCGGTTTGCAGCCTCTTTCCCCGCAGCCGTTTTTGCTCCGCTAGCCTCTATAGCTTTCTGGCGTCATGGAGCGTGCCATGCAGCTGCAGTCCGAGCTCCTGCTGGAGTTCTTGTTCTCGCGGGATTGGCTCCTGGAGGTTGGAGTTAGGCCTATCGGCGACGATCGGAAGCGGGAGATCGAGAGGATGGCGCGCGGCATGGTCCTTGCAGGGTCCATTGACCACCCGTCTCTCCAGATGGGCTCGGACGTCCTGGCCCTCCGCGCCGTGAATCGGGGCGCGCGGTGGTTCTACTTGACACCGGATCAGCAGCACTTGGAGCAGTGGAAAAAATCCCAGCGTGTCTTCCGCTTGCCGGATCGCTGGCTCGAGTCCATGCAGAACTTTCGTGGCAAGCTGCATAGGCTCTTCATCCTCAACTGCGTGGGATCCTGCCGGTTCCTTCGCGACTACCTGAAGACCATGAAGAGGAAGGCGGCCCGTCGCGAAGCGCTGAAGATGCTCGCCATCAAGAACCGCATGGACCCGCACTACGAGATTGCCAACAGCCTCTGAGCCGAAGGGCCCCCCGCCGGGCTGAGGTAGGAACAGCACAGGCCTGCCCCGCCCGGAAAAGAGGCCGCAAGCAACCCTAAACCCTAAACCCTAAACCCCTAAACCTAAGTTAGCAGTCGAGGCGCCGCGGGAGGCGCAGGGGGGCGATTGAAGTCTCTCAGCTGTCGGACCGCCAAGGGCTCCGGCCGCCGGGTGAGCCGGGCCACGGGCTCGGCGCTGCCCCGCGGCACGGGCAGGGCGTGCTTGAGAAGGGTTTCGCTGCCGTCGGTGCCGCGGACCACCATGGAGTCGTAAGAAGCCAGCTCCCGCGCGGGCCCGTACTGGGGCTGGAAGGAACGCGCCGCGTTGGTCGGAGCGCGGAAGGCCCCGGCCTCCTGGAGGCGCCGCTGCCGGCCCTCCGTGAGGCGCTTGTTGTGTTGGAACTTCTCGGCGTTGTCTTGGTAGACCCGAAAGGTCGCCGCCGGCTTCGTTTCCACGTCTTCCGGCGCCACCGTCACCGCCTGGTGCGGCCGGGCGTTGTAGGCCTCCGCCGCCTCATCCACGTGCTCGCCCCAGCCGCCCCCCCTCCGGGCCACCATGCCCGCCAGGTCCTTCTTCAAAGTTTGAATCGCTCTGTCCACCACAGCCGTGGCATTGCGGTCCGAGGGGTCCTTCTGCCGGTGCACCGCCCCTCCGGGCAGCGCCGCCTCGAGGCCCCGGAACTCGTTGCCAAGATCCGTGGTGACCACGTAGTTGCCCTCCTCCTGGAC